CCCGTCTCGGCCTCCCAAAGTGCTGGGATTACAGGCTTGAGCCACCGCGCCCGGCCTTTATTGTGGGTTTTAAAGGTAATACTGATAACAGTTGGCACCATTAATTAAGCATTGGCTGTGTGCCAGGCAGTGTTGGGTACTATCATTATCTTTATTGAAACGTCCATCACTTAAGATATATTCTGATTTCAGAGACATTAAAATGGGGGGGAGGGTGTCTTAGAATATAGGACATTTATCTCATTTTAACCTTCACAACGACCCAATAAAATATATACTAACTTCACCTAAATGTTTAAACTGAGGCTTAGAGAGGCTAAATAATGTGTCCAAAGTCACACAGCTAATCAGTGTGAGAGCTGGGATTCAAATTCACGTTTCTCTGCTGCTGGAGCACAAAACACTCCTCCTCTCCAGCACATCTGTTCAGGCAGCTGCCTGGGATGCCTGGTGTCTATAATACCCTCAGCCTGGGTGCAGCTACCTTTCTGGACCTAGTCAGGAGCATTGGAACTCCCTAGGGTGAAAGAGCTCGTGCCTACTCCCCTTGCCCACTCTGTGTCCAGCAGATTTAAGATCTCCAAGATCATTGTGGTCGGGGACCTGTCGGTGGGGAAGACTTGCCTCATTAATAGGTAAGGGGGTGCTGGAGCTGAACTGGGCAGGGTGGGGCGAGACCTAGACAGGTGGGCTGGCTCCAGATTGGAGCATCTGGTACCCTCTCAGGTTCTGCAAAGACACCTTTGATAAGAATTATAAGGCCACCATTGGAGTGGACTTCGAGATGGAACGATTTGAGGTGCTGGGTATCCCCTTCAGTTTGCAGCTGTGAGTGCTTCCACACCCTTTCCAGCTATCCCTTCCCCCCAGCACCCACACCCCCCAACATACATACCTGTGCTTCACTCCTCCTTCCTCCCAGCTGGGATACCGCTGGACAGGAGAGGTTCAAATGCATTGCGTCAACCTACTATCGAGGAGCTCAAGGTAAGGGGCTGGGTGAAGTGGGGTAGGTGGGTCTCAGAGTGCACATGGCTTCTCATCTGGAGCTGGAAGAATTGGGGAAATGAGCAGTAGTGTCTTCCCTGTCAACCTGGGGCTGTTTCTACCACTCTTCCAGCCATCATTGTTGTCTTCAACCTGAATGATGTGGCATCTCTGGAACATACCAAGTATGTGAGCATCCTGCAATAAATGGGAGGCTCCGGGAAGAGAGGGTTCAGAACAGAAGGGTGGTCAGGAAGAAGAAGAATGCATGTTGCACCAGAGAGGGGGTAATTGGGCATATGAATGTCGGCAGGAGGGGCCCTGCAGGCTTACTCATCCCTCACTTTCCATCACCCGTGGCAGGCAGTGGCTGGCTGATGCCCTGAAGGAGAATGACCCTTCCAGTGTGCTGCTTTTCCTCGTAGGTTCCAAGAAGGATCTGAGTGTGAGTGTGCCAGTGGGGGGACTTCCCAGCTTGGTGAGGGAATGCCCCCCTCTGATTGTGGCCTTCCCTCAGACCCCTGCTCAGTATGCGCTGATGGAGAAAGACGCCCTCCAGGTGGCCCAGGAGATGAAGGCTGAGTACTGGGCAGTCTCATCTCTCACTGGTGAGTTGGAGGCTTCAGGGCTCTGCTGTGACACTCTTGCCTGGCTCTCCTCTCACTGCTATACCTCCAGCTGTGCCCTGTGTCCCCAGATCTGGCACTGCCCCTGAGCACCTATCTGCTCCTGTGTCAGGTGAGAATGTCCGAGAATTCTTCTTCCGCGTGGCAGCACTGACTTTTGAGGCCAATGTGCTGGCTGAGCTGGAGAAATCGGGGGCCCGACGCATTGGGGATGTTGTCCGTGAGTGCCTGCCTGGTTGAGGGTGGCAGAGGGCACAGTGAGCCTCCAATCCCTGCTTCACGTATTTCCCACCTTTCTTTAGGCATCAACAGTGATGACAGCAACCTCTACCTAACTGCCAGCAAGAAGAAGCCCACATGTTGCCCATGAGGGGTGAGGAGACTGTTCAGGGACTGCCAGCCCTGGGGCACTGTGCCACCCTCATTCCTCCAGAGCTTGACCCCTGAACATTTGCACTGACTTTATCCAGACCAAAGAGCTGCCTCTTGGTGGCAGTATTCCCACAGAGGGGTAGCTGGGACCATGCTAGTCACTTCCTGCTCCAGGCACCGTGCCAAAGACTGGATGCCCCCTACTCTTCAGGGGACTGTCCAGGGTGCCCAGCGGTAGTGGGGAAGAGTGTATGTTCTTTTGCTCAGCCTGCTGGGCCCTTTGTGTGTGAGGATGTTTGATTCCAGCCTCTCACTGTGCCTTATGCATTAAAATGTCTTTGTTACTAGCACTTTGGGGCTGGAGTTCTTTGCTGGGGATGATGGATGTGGAATGGGCATGACTGTGGGGCCATCTTGCCACTAGAGCCCCCTGGGGATGCTGTGCTGGCCATCCCTGGCCCCTGGGCAGGTTCAGGTAGGCTGCACTGGGCCCTCACTGGGTGAAGTCTGAATGGCTGGTTTTCAGAGTCCTTTTCCCCTGATCCTTTCCCCACACGTGTCCTACTTGGTGCTTATACCCAAATTTTCACTACTGGAGAATCTTTTTCTTTTTTTCACCCTTTTCTTGCCTTCCCTTTAAGAAATACTTTTCCGGCCGGGCGCGGTGGCTCAAGCCTGTAATCCCAGCACTTTGGGAGGCCGAGATGGGCGGATCACGAGGTCAGGAGATCGGAACCATCCTGGCTAACACGGTGAAACCCCGTCTCTACTAAAAAGTACCAAAAAAAAAACTAGCCGGGCGAGGTGGCGGGCGCCTGTAGTCCCAGCTACTCGGGAGGCTGAGGCAGGAGAATGGCGTGAACCCGGGAGGCAGAGCTTGCAGTGAGCTGAGATCCGGCCACTGCACCCCAGCCTGGGCAACAGAGTGAGACTCCGTCTCAAAAAAAAAAAAAAAAAAAAGAAATACTTTTCCAGGCTGGGTGCGGTGGCTCATGCCGCTAATCTCAGCACTTTGGGAGGCCAAGGCAGGCGGATCACTTGAATTCAGGAGTTTGAGACCAGCCTGGCCAACATGGTGAAACCCCATCTCCATCAAAATACGAAAATTAGCTGGGCATGGTGGTGCGTGCCTGTAGTTCCAGCTACTTGGTAGGATGAGGCAGGAGAATCGCTTGAACTCAGGAGTTATAACCATTAACTTTTCTTTTTTGTTGTTTTATTTTGTTTTTTGTTTGGTTTTTTGGTTGTTTATTCCATTAACTTTTGTATGGGGAAAGGTGACCGAGACCCTGGCTCCCTGTTGAAATCTGACCCAGAGTTCCAGAGGAGCTGGAAGCACCTCAGACATCTGGGTCAACAAAGGAGGACTATGGCCTCCTGTCATCCTAGGAGGCTAAGGGGGTCCAAATTAGAAGGCAGATTCTGGCTCCTAGTTGCCAGGTGCTCTGTCTGTTCCATTCCCGGTTCCATTTTCACCAGGATGGTTGGTTTTTCTGCACTCTTCCCTTCTCCTGGCTTCCCCTCCCTCACAGTTCCTAGACTCTCTAGAGCTACCACAGGAAGGAGGGTCTAGGCAGCAGCCCTACCCACTCTGGACATGGGTCTGGAGGAAAGCGAAGGTGGGGATCAGGCGGAGCAATAGCAGCAGCAGCAGAGCCCCTGGATGATGGTGGAAAAAACAAGGTGTGGATCCCATCCTTTCCCCTCCTCTCCATCCTGGCTTTGGAAGCTGGTGCCAAGAGAAGTGGAGGGGTGTGGTGCATGGAATGTCAGCGATGTGGCCAAAACTTCTTTTCACACTCTCCTGTCATTATTTTTTCCATTTCTGTTCCCTCACAGCACTGGGCTCCTCACCTTTGCCTTGCCTGTTAACAGATGTGTGTGAAGCCAGCACCATAGTCCAGGTGTGGTGTTTGTGCTGCACCGGGTATGGGAGTTCTGTGTTCCGTGTGCATGTTGTATGTGTGTGGTGAGTAGATTTTCTGTGTTCTGTGATATATACATGCGCAGAGTGTTGTACCTGAGGGCGTGAGGGGTGTCACTGTGATGAGGTTCCAATGAATGCAGCCTGCCCTGTTCTCCAGACGGGATAAGCTTACGACTCTCTATCCGGAAGTATTGTCTCTAGAATAGGGTGTCCTATGGGGGCCAGGGGCGGGGAACGCTGCGGGGTGGCGCAGGGTCTGGGAGCCGACATCAGGTCCTCAGCCGGGAGTTAGGCCTTGGGAGAGGTCTGTGGGCGGAGAGAGGGGAAGCCTGGGCTCCACCAGAGCGGGAGGGACCTCGAAGCCCGGACGGTGGAGTGGAGATGGCGACGCCAGGACCTCCCTGGGCTCAGGTAATCCTCCCACCTCAGCCTCCCAAGTAGCTGGGACTACAAGTGCGCGCCACTAAGCTAACTAATTTTTGTATTTTTTGTAGAGATGGGGTTCGCTCGCTCGCCGGCGGGCAGAGGCGGGGCTGCGGCTGGGTTCCCAAGGGTCGGCGGGGCGGGGAGCGGGGCGGGAGTGTGCGGTTTAGAGAATGACCGGGGCGGGGCTAAGAATGGGGCTGGGGGCAAGGCTCGTTGTAACACTAAGAACTGGGGCTACGATCTGGAGGCAGGGTTAAAATCTGGGGCTTGGACTGCAAGCTGGAACCAGAGATGGGTGGTGAAAGCTGGGCCTGTAAGGTTAAGGTCTGAGATAAAGGGGAAATCCTAGGATTACAGGGGGAACAAAGAGGGGCCTGCGAGGCGCCAGGAGGCCCCGGATGAAGAACGCGGCTGACGCTGAGACCCGGGCTGGGAAGACTACGCAGCCTGGAGCGGAGTGGGGGAGGCGGGCGGGGGCTGCGCCAGCATGAGGCGGGGTTAGGGTCTAGGCGGGGGCGAAGCCGAGACTGGAGTTCACGGCTGGGCCGAGGGCTCGGCCGGGCTGAGGCTCAGGGTTGGACTTCAAGGAAGAGTCCTGTAGAGACGAAGACCTGGGCGGAGAGCGATGTGGGTCAGGACGACACTCACAATTGAAAGATGGACTAAGGAAAAGACCGAGCCCAAGGTCCGCTCGTGGGATGAGAGCAGGTGCTGCGGTAAGAGGGGCGGGGCAGGGGCTGGGCAGGGGCTGGGCAGGGGCTGGGCAGAGGGCGTGGCCGGGCTCGCAGACCCTGAGCGGCGCACGCGGGAGGCTGGCAAACCAACGAGGGAGGCGGGGCCGAGCGCTGGGCCGGGGCGGAGCTAGGGCCGGGGGCGGGCTCGCGTCGAGTCGCGGGCCAATGATTGAGGACTGGGGGCTTGAGGCCCTGCTGGGTCGCCCGCGGGTTGGACGGGAAGTCTGGCTCCAGCCAGAGCTGTAACTCTTGGCTATCGGACTGGGTGGCACCGGGCGCAGGCCGCTGCCCTTGAAGCGCCGGCCTTGGCTGGAGCCCATGGACCAGCGCCCACCCGGACGCCTGGGCGGGAGCGGGCGGTTCCATCAACCCTGAGGGTGGACCAGGGAGACTGAGGGTTCCACGCGTGGCATCACAATTACCTCCGCGGGGGCGAGGCCAGAGAGGCATTTCCAAGGAGACGCGGGCGCACTGGCCCTCCCTTGCTTCCTCCTTTTCCCTCCTTCCTTTCCTAGTTTCTTCCCTTCCTTCTCCTTCCCTCCCTTCCCGCCCTACTCCTTTCGGCTGCTCTGGTGCCCACCCCCAGTGCCTCGAGGGCGAGGAGAGCTCCTCGGCCCCGCAGGACTGGGAGGATTCTGTACAGATGAGCATAACCTGTGAGTCTTGAGTTAGGCCTCTGTGCGCCGATAACGCTTCACGGGGAAAGACGCCATAAGCCTCCCACTTTCTTTCACCCTATCACCCTCATTCATTGTGTGTGTTGTCAGTCACTCCTGCTGCAGGACCTCTGAACTGCTGCTGGTCAGAGCTCTCCTGTCCTCTGGAACTAAAGAGCAGGTTGCTTTTCTCAGCTCTGAAGAGAGTTACTAAATTCGTCTCCCCCTTTGTCCCTCCTCCCCTCATCTCCTTCACAAACAGAGCTGATGGGTGTCTGAGCTCTGGGGGATCTAGTCAGTGGAGAGTAAACAGGCTCTGACCCTGCATGTGTGCTTTTTTTTTTTTTTTTTTTTTTGAGACGGAGTCTCGCTCTGTTGCCCAGGCTGGAGTGCAGTGGCGCAATCTCGGCTCACTGCAAACTCCGCCTCCCGGGTTCAAGCAATTCTCCTGCCTCAGCCTCCTGAGTAGCTGGGATTACAGGCGCGTGCCACCACACCCAGCTAATTTTTGTATTTTTAGTAGAGACGGGGTTTCACCATGTTGGTCAGGCTGGTCTTGAACTCCTGACTTTGTGATCCGCCAACCTCGGCCTCCCAAAGTGCTGGGATTACAGGCGTGAGCCACCGCGCCCGGCCATGTGCGCCTCTTTCATGGTGACTCATGAAACAGCAAGGCAGAGGAGTTTTGGTTCCTCACCCTGGCTGAGGCCCCAGCAGCAAGACTTTAGGGTCCAGGGTGGATAAGGGAGGCTGTGGAGTCCGGATTGAGTAAAACCAGAGGGTGAGGAATTGGCTGTGTTGGAGCTAAAAAGCAGGTGTAGTAGGAAGTGACTGCGCCTCAAAAAAACACCCGTCCGGCCGGGCACGGTGGCTCAAGTCTGTAATCCCAGCACTTTGGGAGGCCGAGACAGGCGGATCACGAGGTCAGATCGAGACCATCCTGGCTAACATGGCGAAACCCCGTCTCTATTAAAAAATACAAAAAACTAGCTGGGCGAGGTGGCGGGCGCCTGTAGTCTCAGCTATTCGGGAGGTTGAGGCAGGAGAATGGCGTCAACCCGGGAGGTGGAGCTTGCAGTGAGCTGAGATCCGGCCACTGCACTCCAGCCTGGGTGACAGAGCGAGACTCCGTCTCAAAATAAAATAAAATAAAATAAAAAAACACCCGTCCTCCCCACTGTCTCACTCTGCCACCCAGGCTGGAGTGCAGTAGCACCATATCGGCTCACTGCAACCTACACCTCTGGGGTTCAAGAAATTCTCCTGCCTCGGCCTCCAGAGCAGCTGGGACTACAGGTGTGCGCCACCACGCCTGGCTGATGTTTGGATTTTTAGTAGAGATGGGATTTCACTATGTTGGCCGTGCTGGTCTCAAACTCCCGACCTCAAGTGATCCGCCCACCTCAGCCTCCCAAGGTTCTGGGATTACAGGCATGAACCACTGCACCCAGCCTGGTAGGACAGGTTTTGCATATGGAGCTGAATATGATTTATTATTTTATTTTTATTTTTATTTTTATTTGTTTTTAGACAGAGTCTCGCTCTGTAGCCCAGGCTGGAGTGCAGTGCCCGATCTTGGCTCACTGCAAGCTCCGCCTCCTGGGTTCACACTATTCTCCTGCCTCAGCCTTGTGAGTAGCTGGTATTACAGGTGCTCGCCACCACACTCGGCTAATTTTTTGTATTTTTAGTAGAGACGAGGTTTCACTGTGTTAGCCAGGATGGTCTCGATCTCCTGACCTCGTGATCCACCTGCCTCAACCTCCCGAAGTTCTGGGATTATAGGTGTGAGCCACCGCGCCCAGCTATTTTGTAAGACAGAATCTCTGTCTCCCAGGCTGGAGTGCTGTGGTGCTCTCAGCTCACTGCAACCTCTGCCTTGCCAGCTCACTAAAGCAGAATGTGGTTTTAAGGCTTGGCTGTGGAGCTTCACATACAGAATGGCCTTTGTTTACAGGGGTGTGTCCCCAGCCAACAGTAAGTAGATAGGGCTGAAAGAGCATAGGCTATGGAACCAGGAAGACCTGGGTTTGAATCCTACCTCTGCCATCTATTAACATGTATCTTTGGACAACTTACTTATCCTAAGTCTCTGTTCTCATCCATCGAATGGGGCTGTGGTGGGGATTTAGAATCAAAGGTATATATTTTAGTTGAGACAGGGTCTTACTCTATTGCCCAGGCCACAATGTAGTGGCGCAATCATGGCTCACTGCGGCCTTGACCTCCCTGGACTCAGGTGATCCTCCCACCTCAGCCTCCTGAGTAGCTGGGACTACAGGTGTGCACCACTAAGCTAGCTAAATTTTTGTATTTTTTGTAGAGATGGGGTTTTGCCACGTTGCCCAGGCTGGTCTCGAACTCCTGGGCTTGTGATCTTTCCGCCTCAGCCTCCCAAAATGATGGGATTACAGATTTATGTCATTTCACTGGTGGATGTTGAAAACATGGAAGTTGATGAAATTATCCAGGACATGCTTTTGTAGAGTCTTCTGAGGAGGTGACCAAGTCTGGTAATCACCAATTTAAGGTGTACAGCAAAACAAGAGGAGATAGCAAAGGAGACAGGGAAGAACTAAAGAGCTGGTTAGAGAAGGAAGAGAAAGATGAGGTCTGCCATGGAAGTCCAAGGAACAGTTTGCAGAAGAAGGAGATTCATTGGTCAACAGGGTCAAGTGAGGCTGGGCGCGGTGGCTCACGCCTGTAATCCTAACACTTTGGGAGGCCAAGGAGGGCGGACCATGAGGTCAGGAGTTCGAGACCAGCCTGTCCAACATGGTGAAACACCGTCTCTACTAAAAATACAAAAATTAGCCAGGTGTGGTGGCGCGCACCTGTAATCCCAGCTATTCAGGAGGCTGAGGCAGGAGAATTGCTTGAACCTGGGAGGCAGAGGGTGCAGTGAGTCGAGATCACACCACTGCACTCCAGCCTGGGCGACAGAGCGAGACTCCATCTCAAAACAAAACAAACAAAAACAAGAAACAACAAAAACAAAAAACAGGGTCAAGTGAGATAAGCAGCCCACTGGGTTTGGCTACTGGGAAACTGCTGGTGGCCTTTGCCAAACCTATTCAGATTGGGGGGCGGTGGCTACCATGTTGCAGGTGGTTGGAAGAGAAGAAAGAGGTGGAGACACTGAGCTCACTGAAGGTAGGGACTTGGCCTCTTTTCTAGTGCTGAGTGAAGCCACCCAACATATGTCCTCTAAATGAATGAGTGAATCAATTTGGATTGAAAGGGGTATACGCAATGATAGGAGAAACAGGATTGACAGAGTGTTTTGTTTTATGATGTTTATAGCCTGTAAGGGAGGAAAAAAGAAGCCAGTAAAGAAGAAAGTGTCAATTCTGGCTGGGACCTAAAATATAGATGCTTTGGGCATGAGAAAGGAGGGACACCCCTTTCCCAGGCAAGCAAAGTTGATGAGGATTGGAGTGTCCACAGATAATGGCAGTGAAATTATCTGCTGAGAGAACCAGTGGTTGCAGGAGTTTCCAGGAAGTGCTTAAAGTCATTCATTCACTCTTTTGTTCATTTAACAAATTTTGAGTATTTGCTGTGCTGCAGAAAACAGGAGGAGGAGCTGATCAGAGACTTGTAGGAGGATGACCAAGTGCCACTGAAGGTTTGCTGAAGATGCCAAGCAATCAGTTTCCCTTCCTTAAGCAGACCTGAAATCCAGTGCCTCAGGGGACAAAGCTAGCTGTGGGAAGGAAAGGCAAAGGGGCAGACTCTGTCTTGTGGCTGCTGATGGGGAGCTGCCACCCCAGTTGGAGGTCTGCTCAGGGTCATCCTCTGTCCAGGCTCCACACACCCTGGGACAGTTTCTGGAGCTGTCCCTCCTTGCCTAGACCCTGGCTGGCTCCTATTCATCACTCTAACTCTAGTGATGCCCCTTCCAAGAAGTCTTCCATAGTCCCCTGTCCTCCTTTCCAGTCCTGGTAGGTGGCCCTTGTCCTGTGCTACCATTTCCCTGTCAGCATCTGTATCACACTATTGTCATGAACCTCCTGTGTCCCTCCCCCCTGCCCCTCACCCCTCCGACCCCGCAACCCCTCAAGAGCAGGGACTGTTGTTTTATCTCTGCATCTCCAGGATGCAGTGGGGCCTGACATGTGGAACTTCTCGGGCTATGTTTGGTGAATAAATGGCACAGGGAGGGGGCTGCTGCCGCCACTGCCACTCTGTGCTCTCTCAGATGTAAACAGGTTACCCAGCTGGGAGAGAGGACATCTGCTGGCTGGTGTGGCGTCCAGCACTGATGTGTCTACCTTCTCTGAAGGTGGGTCCAGGAGACCTTTGACCCAGGGGGGTCCCCATCACCCCTCACCTGGGAAAGCTGATACCTGGTGGAACATTGGTCCTGAGGCAGGGAGGGAGGGAAGTGTTTGGTCCTGAAGCTGCCCCATCCTCAACCCATCCCCTACAGATGCCAGAGGGGACCCCTTTCTCAAGGCCACAATCACCCCATTCATTTGTATAGAACTTTATGGCACATAAGTATCTTTGACATACGTGAATTGAGTACGCCCAACAACCCTGCAAAATAGGTATGGCCACCATCCCATTTTGTGGATAAGGAAACTAAAGGCTCAGAGAAGTAAAGGAATTTGCCCTAGGCCACCCAGCTAGTAAGTGACAGACCCACGACTTGGGCTCAGGCCTGACTCCAAGTTCAGGGCAATTTGCCACTATGCTGCCCTTTGGCCCAGCTCAGCAGTGCTGAGGAAGGCCGAGGTGGTGGTGAAGTTTCAGGGTCCTGCCACACACCCATGCCTTCCTCATCTTCCTGGGGGATAAAGGGTACAAGAGGGGAGGAGAAAGACACAGATCACCCATGGGTCAGCGGTGTAGTGAGGACCCAGGACTTCACAGCCTTGTGTGGGAAAGGGAAGGAGGGAGAAATGTGGGTAAGCCTCAGGCCAAGCTGCTGCACTGTGAGGCCACTTGGACTCACACCACAGCCTGGGCTCATTGCTGGCTGGTGACCAGTATGAGGTCTCACCCTAGTTCCTCTCCTCGTGGGCACTGGCAAAGGCACAGTCCTCATGGCCTGTTTGAGGGTAAGCCAGCCACAGCACCCCAGGCCAGTGCCGGCTCCCTCCCTCCCCTAGGGGTGCGGGGGAATCCGAGGTAAGGTCCCTTGTCCTCTGCCTGGTGAGTGAGATTCTGGGCTGTGAGAGGCGCAGAGTTGCCTCATGGGCTTACCTTTGAGAGGGGACAGCCAGTGGTAGATCAGGGCCTTAGGCAGGGTCAGAGGTGAGGCAGTGGTGGTAGACTGGGGAAATTCTCCTGTCTTCAGGACTGGCATTGAGCTGAGCAACAGAGGTGGGGGCCTTTCTCCAGGGCTTTCCCCTAACCCCAAATTCTTACCCCAGCAGCTTCTTCCTGTGCCCTGGGAAAGGGGATGTGGTCTCTGTGCTGCCTAAAAGGGTGCCTAGGCTGGGGGTGGGTCGTTCAAAAGCCTGGCACTCTAGGCAGTGGGGAGAGTGTGGAAAGGTGCTGCGTGAAGAACAGGGAAAGGATCAAGAAGCGGGCATGGGAAGGGAGGGGAGTGAGAAACGTGTCAGGTGGGAGGAGAAAAGGGGCTTGAAGAAGGAGGGGGAAGTGGGGAGGGAAGGACGAGACAGAAGCTAAGGAGCATGATGCAGGCCTTAGCTCCTGGCCAGGCTGTGAGAGATCAGAGCGGGCCAGGGCAGGTGTAGGAACTGAGGATGCTGCGGCTCTGCTGCTCCTGGGGCTCCGGGGTGCCATGGCAGGAGGGCCTTCTCCTACCAGGTACCTTGTGGAGCAGGGCTACCACTCATTGTGGGTAGCTGGGTGAAGGGCAGGCAGGAGCCAGTGGAAGCCTCCCACTGGAGGGAGAGGACAGAAGTTAACAGGGAATCACAGGACTGCAGGGGGCTTGGTGAGGGTCTCCTGTGTATCAGACATGGAACCAGACATTTTGCTGGGACCTGGGGTTACTCTGGGGCCAAGTTACTACTACTGAAGCAGAAACACTTCTTGGGGTGGGGACAGCTGGTGGTGGCAGGTGAATTTGGTGAGGTTTTAGCTTGAGCTATGGGAAGACCCAGAGGTCTGTGGCTGCTGCTGATGACCCAGACCCCTGCCCCCTCAGGTGACTGCAAGGAGCCTGACAAGTGCTGCTGGAAACACAAGCAGTGCACTGGGCACATCATCTACCCCTTCGCCTCTGACTGTGTCTGCCACAGCCTGCACCTACGCTCTGTCAACCACTGCAACTGTAATTCTAGGTGAGGGCCCGCCCCCTTGGGGGACCCATGGCAAAGCAGGTCCCAACTTTCATTGTGGTGTCCCCTTCAACCTTTGGTTTGCCTCTTCAGCTTTGAATTGGTGCTGCCAGCCCAGTCCCAGCTCTGCACACTTTGTTCTGCTCTAACAGAAATGGGGAGGTCTGTTGGCGGCCTGGGACAGGCCCAGCGGAAGCCCACTGTCCCTCAGGCTTCTGGCTCTGGGTCCCTGGGGGAGTGATGGGAGCCAGGCTGAGAGTCCCATGTGTGGCAGGCTGAAGGACTGCTCAGAGGACAGCAGCAGCTCCCGGGGTACGGGCCCAACCTGCTCCCATGTCATCGAGTCCCCTTGCTTTGAGCTCACACCGGAGGAGCAGCATGTGGAGCGATTCTGGTATGGCTGGTGAGTGAGCCCCGGTGGGCTGATGGGGAAGGGGCCTCTACAGGGCACTGCCCCCCCGACTCTGTCAAACTTCCCTCGTCATCCCTCCTCCCAGGTGCAAAAGCTACAGACCTGTCTCTGTGGCGGTGATCCACCATCCCCTCCACCATGAGTGTGGGGCAGATGATCTAAATGAAGAAGAGGAAGAGGAGGAGCAGGAAAGCAAGCCCCCCATCCCAACGCAGGTGGGGCCTGCCACCGCCTGCCCTGACCTAGGCACCACCATGGCCACTGGTACCCCTGACTCCGCAGCGCCCATCACCATCTGGCGCTCTGAGAGCCCCACAGGGAAGGGTCAGGGCAGCAAGGTGATCAAGAAGGTAAAGAAGAAAAAGGAAAAAGAGAAAGACAAGGAGGAGGAGATGGATGAGAAGGCAAAGCTGAGAAAAAAAGCCAAGAAAGGCCAGTTGACTAAGAAGAAAAGCCCGGTTAAATTGGAGCCTTCCCCGCCAGACGCGAGCCGATCATTAAGCCCAAGACAGCTGGCCAGGATGTCCGAGTCCAGCCCAGAAAGCAGGGAAGAGCTGGAGAGCGAGGACAGTTACAATGGCAGGGGGCAGGAGGAACTGTCCAGCGAGGATATTGTGGAATCATCATCGCCCAGGAAGAGAGAGAACACAGTTCAGGCCAAAAAGACAGGGGCAAAGCCCTCACAAGCCAGGAAGGTAAACAAAAGAAAATCTCCCCCAGGATCAAACCCCAACCTCAGTTGAGGCCAGGGTGGTCAGGGTGCAGAATAAATGCCATCGAGCCTGTGGCTGGCCCTGTGCTGCTGTTCTCTCCCTCCAACCTGGCTGTTTCTTGCGGGGCAAGGGGTGGGCTCAGGGCTGCGGGGGTTTCTCAAAGGCAATCCAGCTTTCACAAAGGAAGTCCATGGGAAGGCAGGTGGGAGGGAAAGGAAGGGGCACAGCCCTATTTCCTCCTACCTGCTAGGACAAGGTGGAAGAGTACATCTGGGTGGGAAGGAGGACTTCCCCTCTCTCCTGGGAGAGACTCTCGGTCTGTGTGAAACCCACTTCTGGGAGAAGCAGTACTGTCTGCAGTGATACCCCCAATAAATGGAACTTTTTAACCCACTCTGTGCCACTGTGCCTGGCCTTTCCCGCCTCTAAGTGGCTCTGCAGAAGGTGCTCATGGTACTACCAGAGACTGACCTTCCCAGCTGATGGTCCAGCTCCTCCCTTGTAGCCCTTTTGTGCTGAAGGGAGCTGACTTTTGAGTTCCTGGCAGAGCTGGCCCCTTCCCCCAGCTCTTGATGAAGAAAAGCAAGGGGAGGGAGTGTGCGACGTCCAGGCAGCAGTGGCCTTTTCTGACTTCTCTGCTGAGCCCCAAGCAGAGGAAAGGGAGCCAGAGGCCCCACTCTCCCGGCACTGACTCACAGAGCTGTGAGATGAAGCCCTTGTGCAGAAACAGGGATGGCAGGTTCAGAACAAAAAATGTAGTGGGGCAGGAACACCTTACTGCTGAGAGTTTGCCAGAGACCAAGGCCCAGCTGGGAAAAGGGAGGAGACGAACAGCAGAGGCTCAAGTTGAGAAACCCAGGTGTACTTGTGGCCTTTCTCGAGTATGCCAGAGAAGACCAACAGGTGTGGGTGGATGGGGCAGCTGTGCTGTGGGTGAGTGGGTGTAATAATACCGGGTAACATTTGCGAGGTACCAGGCATTGGGCCAAGGAGCTTGCACATGCTGCCTTGGTCCTCACAGCAGCTGATGAGGCAGGTATCACTATCTCCATGTTACAGGTAAGAAAGCCAGTTGAAAGCCAGCAAGAGCTGGCACAGGGTCACCGGGCTGGTAAGCAGAACAGGGATGTGCCCCAGGCAGTCTGATGCAGAAGCTGCCTAGTCTATGAATCTTTGCCTCTGATGGAAGTCAGGGGGGTCCCTGGAGCTCCAAACACTGCTTTGAAAGCCATCCCCTCAAAGAGCTAGAGAGTTGGAGAGAGAGGCTTTGGCAAGGGCTCAATAGAAACACTGTTTATTCAAATGACAGGCAGGAAGCGGTGGCGGCAGCAGTGGGGAAAGGGCAGCCAGGCAGGGACTGGGCAGGTTAGTGCTGCTTCCCTGTGTCCCCTGCATTCCTGCTTGGACAGCCACCCGGCTGTTGGCATCAGGGTCAGAAATACTTTCCCTCCTCTCCCTCCTGCCCCAAACTGAATAAATAGCATCCCTCTCCCCACAAGAGCCAGGGGAGACTCATGTGCTGAGTTTTGTGTCCTAGTCACAGCCCAGCGTCTGGTGAGGGCAGAAGTTCAAAATGGCTTGTAGGGAGTAGAATCAAAACTGTTCTACTCATTCTCACCTTCCTCTTCCTCCTCCCTGCCACACTCCCCTCCCAGCCTGGTCCCAGGCCAGGTGGTCGGTGAGGGTCTGGAGTGGGAGAATTGTTGCCTAGCACACACTGAGCTCAAGTTCACAAGGCCATCCAGCCTGTCACCCATCCAGGTTGACCACCAAAGAGAACGTCACTTCACGCCACTTTATGGACAGAAAAGGAGGGGCAGGGAGGGAGGCAGTGGGCGGCCAGGCCTTTCCCAGCCTCAGAGGTAACCAGAGTCCGAGGAGCAGGCCCCCTACCGATCCATCTCGTCCAGGAGTGGGGTGGCATCGCCAGCAATGGACATGGGGGTGCTTTCGATCATGGGACTGGGGGAAGGCCGAGGTGTCAGCCGCTGCTTCTGTTTCCGCCGTTCTGCCTCCTTTTCCTGCAGCCACTGCTCTGCCATTTTCCCCCAGTCGATGGCTGCATGGCTGTTGGACCTGGGAAGGGAAGAAAAATTGAGATTCGGACTTTGCTAAAAGGAATTCTTCCCACCAATCACTGTACCCTTGCAGAAGGGAACCTCATACCTACGGGCAGCAGCCCCTCTGCTGGGGTGAGGCAGATATAGCAGCAGCTGGCTGCCACACTGCTCTCTTCTGTCTTCACCCAGAAACTAGTGTTCCTGGCATATCACATGATCAGGGCCCTCAGAGGATCCAGAGCACCTGCCTACGGTAAGCCTCTCGGCCTCTTGACAACAAGCCCCTACCACTGACCTGCACTGTGCCACCATCCAGATACTTACTTTGGCTGCTGCTGCCGTTGCCGGGAGCTGGAGGAGGGCTGGGGCTGGGCCTGGGCCGACTGCGGGGTGGTGCTGGCCTGGAGCTGGTGGTACTGAGGGGTGGTGATGGGCTGGCTTGGGGTCGTGTAGGAGTAGCTAGGGGTCATTAGTGGTGTGGCCACTGGCTGCTGGGCTGGCGTTGGGAATACCTGGAGAGGCATGAACAGTTAAATAGGGATGGGTGTGGGGCTTGTCTGGCCTTGCTGTGAATTCTGGGTAAGCGCAAGGGTGGGCTCAGCAAAGCTTTCCAGATGATTCTCCACTGAGTGTGTGCTTCTGACCAGCAGTGGGAAGTCTGCAGGTCGGCACCGAGCACACAGTGGTGCCCACTGATCCCGACCACATCAAGTTTCTAGTGGCCTGCGGGTTCCAAAGATTCCAAAGGCCCGTGGAAACATTATGCCCTCTCTTACTCTCTTCCCCTTCAAATGGGCCTGAGGACAAGGAATATCCGTTGGAGACAGTTACCACGGCTGTGGCAGCCCCATCTGTGCATGTGAAGCCCCTTGTGGGCAATGTGAGAGGCCAGTCTACGGGCCCCACCCTGCACAGGCAGCCTCCTCCCCAAGTCACATACGTGGTAAGCACTGCTGCCGCCTCCACTGCCGCCATAGCCATACTGGCTGGAGGCCCACTGGGCTGGGGTGGCATTAGGGTTCTGTCCTTGGCCTGTCACCGCAGCAATGGCACTGAACATCTGTGAAGTCATGTTCTGAGGCAGAGCATTCACGGCCCGTGTCAGATCTGTAAGCACACAGAGGCAGGGAGGGGCATGTTAGAGGTGAAAGTCCCTTTAGCTCCACCCTTCCCACCTCCAGTCCCAGGCTCAAGCTCCTCACCTGCAAGGTTGATGTTGGCCGGGGTAGCATTGATAGAGGCAGGTGTCCGGGTCCTGCTGCTGCTGCTAGGGGTGATGCCTGCAGGAAGTGGTTACTTAGTTACATCCCTCCAGAAACCTATTTTTGGTTTCCCAATTCAGGGGGTGGAAGGGGCACTGAAGTAGGTGGAGGGAGGAAGGGAAGCTGCATAGGCACAGTGGATGGATAAACTTCCTGATGCTGGGAGGCTGCAGGAGGACTAAGACAGCTGCAGTGACAGCCTACTTCTCACCTGGTCCCCTAGGCTGGGACTACTCTTGAGTCAGGTCCTAGGTGTTCCTCTAGCCAGGCCCCTGAGGTCAGGAAGAGCAGAACTCACCTGGTACAGGATCCTGGTAGTGATCCTTAAACCATCTAAAGAGTCCATTCACAGTTGGGAAGATCTGGCCCCGGTACCGGAATCCCTCTGGAGTCACTGTTACATATTCTATCCTGGGATTTTAGAAGGAAACATGCGTCAGAAACCACTTGGGACTCACCATGAGAGAGCAACCAGAACAGATGCCCACCATGTGAAGTAGCCATTCTGGGTGCTAGGGGAAAGGAGAGATGACACAGCCAATCCCCAGGCCTGTGAAGGGAGGTGAGCAGCAAATGGCAGAATACAGTCAAGGCCAAGGAGTCGGTGGCCCCGTGTGCAGCATACATGCTGCCGGAGGAAGGCTTGCTGGAGGCTGTGCTACCATACTCGGCTGCAGTATGAAGGCAGGATACCGCCGGTGAAGTGAGACCAAGGTCCCATACTGCCAGGGTTGGAAGCGACCTCCCAGAGCAGCAAATTGCAACTCCCCCAAAACAGACATCTCTCTGCAATGGCTGTGGAAGGTGGTAGTCTGCCCTTGTTCAACACTTCTGAGAGTAGCAGATAGTAGTTAAGAGGGGCTCTAGGTTAGTTCCAGTTCTAGTTTCAGCTCTGCCATTCACCGCGTATGACACATTGCACCAAGTTACTAAATTTGAATCTCTGCTTCATTTGTCCAATGAGGATCAAAGCACTTAAACCTATGGGGTGGGCGTGAGGATAAATGAGAATGCACAGAACACGTTTCACAATGCCTATAGCTGGGTTGTGCTCAATAAAGGCCAGCTATCAATGGCAACCAGATAATGCTACATTGTACACAGTTCTCATTTCTATTAGGCTGACACCTGCCTCCTAACTCTTCCATTAATTCTGCCACACAAGGAGAGTCAGCTCCTTTCTCCAGAAGCAATCATGCTGCACCTGGTCCTGGTTAGAGGCACCCCCCCGACCCCCCCCAACCCCACTCAGTTTGCTCAATCATTCCTCATAGGACACAGTTTCTAGCCCCACTTAGCCCTGGCTGCTGGCCTCTGGAAGCACACTGGTGAGTCAACAGGCTTCTCAAGAAATGAGCACAATATTCCAGATACACCCAGGATGGCACATGGTCCAGAGTCTAGGGCTTCCTGTCATCTGGCCACTGAGTGCCTACTAATGCAGCCTGAGCTGTGCATCAGGTGCAGCCAGTACAGGGATAAAAGCAGAAGTGCACAGGGCCTTGGCCAAAGGCCAATGGAAGGATCGGGGCAGGGCTTAGGCAGAGAAGGTGAGTGTGATTACCAGTCTGTATCACAGACATAGAGAGGCAGGTCTAAGGAAACTGGACTTTGTCCTCTAGGTTCAGAGTAAGTGCTAGAGGGATTCAGATAAAGGAATACCTCAGGAAGGCCAGCCTATCAGTCACACAGAAGGGGGCAGAGCAGGAGACAGAGCAGAACAGGAGACAGGCTCTCCTGACCACCGTTTCA